TGTGAGAAGTGAGAACATTGAACCCTCCGCTTGCTAACAAAAAAAAGATTACTTATTTCAAGTTGTCTGTTTTTACCTGTAACTTCAAAACTTCAATTTATCTCTGTATCGAGTTGTAAGATTCTCAAAAACTATAGAATTGCGATAAAGGTATAATACTATATTATTCAGTCAAAGAAGAAAAGGTTAATAATAAAATTGTGGACTTCTAACTTCTTTATATTAACCTTTATTTTATGTTTGGATCTTTATATATCCCTATTTTGTACAACTGTTTTCTATCTATGAATTTGCTTTGTCTCGAGTAAATTAGGTTATCCATGTTCTATGTAATCATCTACTTTCATTTTATAGAGTTTATCTATCTTGGATTGGATTCTATTTGTAAGTTCGGTTTCCCGTTTAAATTCTGAAAAACGAAAACAGAATTACACAGAAAAATTCTTAGCTATAATTCCAATATTGATAGAGATGTATAACTAAAAAAATCAATTTTATAGATAATTTCATTGTTATAAAAGCTCAAGGCCGTGCATAGCACGGGGCATAATACTAGTTAATTATAAAACCAAAACCCACGGTGAACAAGAACCGTGGAAGTTAACATCAATGCCGTTTTTATTCCCTCTCTTTTCCCTAACGTTGTTCTCTTAGTTATTTTCTCAATGGTTAATAACTTGAGACCAACTTAATCCATACTTGATATATCGTAAACGAAACTATGCAGATTTGTTTGGATTTCAAAGGTGAGTCATTTCTTATTTATTTCAAATGCATTTTGTTTCCACTATATATGACAATTTTAAGGGCAAATAGAAACTCAAAATATACTAGTAATTTTTCCTTCACATAATACCAACGTCAACGTGTGAAGCCAAAGCAAGACCTAACAAGGTATAAAATAAAAGAACACAAAGATTAAAGAAAGGACAATGTTTTCGGAAAATGCCTAAGGAATATATTAAAAAAATCTCTCAAAAAGATTCTAATTTAAATAAATAACGAATAAAAAATTCTACTCTAAAAAAAAAGAACGTCGGAGTTCAATATTCCGTTTCTACTTGAAGACAAATCACCAAATAAACATTTATTCTCTAATGTTCGACACAGCTTGCCCTCATTACAAACCCTGAATTTCCAGTTTCTCTTCCATGATAAAAGCACTTCACAAAAATTAGTTTTTATTAGTGTAATAAGCAAAACCAAAAATTTACGGAATTAAGATTATAGAAATGCAATTTTACTATAATAGGTGATTGATAATTGTAAAGTATAATTTATGAACACAATAATATTAATATAATACTAAAATAATATAATAAACAAGAATTAAAAAAAAACCGGATTTGCAAAGTCGAAATATAATCTCTTTCCTTAATTATGTAGACACTCAGTAGTATGACGGTTGTATGGCGTTCCAAATTCCGACATATTTCTTATGTTTGCATTATCCAAATCATAAGCTTACAACCTAATTTTTTTTGTGATAGATTCTTATAAGAAAAACAACTAAAAGAAAAGATGTGAGAGATTGTTTACTTGTGATGTATTGATCTTAATAAAAAAAAGAAGGTAACATGGCTTACTTATAAAGCCAATGCCATCAAGGAAAGTGGAGTGGTAATGAGAATTAAGTTTTCATCATAATGACACAATTGAATTTTGTGTTACACAAAATTCAGTTCAAGAAAATATTTTTGTTGACTTAATCAATAACAAAATAATTTCTAGTCAAAAAGATTAATCTTATGAATTTTGCCCGATTGTCAATTTTCGAGGCGCGAAACATAAGTTCAGCCAAAATGTACACAAGTTTTTAAACTTTGTTTTAAATTCTTCATTTCATATACAAGAAAATTTTACAACCCACTTGGACCTCAAACTTTCAATGTGGGACATTTCATAAATGTTACATTTTATGCTATACAAGCAACCCACTTGGACCTCCATTTCTCATTCAAACCAACTTCATTTTGACATATAAATACAAAAATGAGTTCCAACAATCCCCACATGAATAGAAATGACTCTAGACACTGGACGACTCAATAGACTTGACTCTATAGACAAGACAACAAAAACGACTTTTGAGAGTACATGCGAAAAATCCACTGTATATGAGTTGGTAGCATTTTTCAGCCTTGAACCAAATCATTGTTAATAACTATCGGATTTACTCGACCAAGAGGTGAACATGATGTCTTGAACCTCTCGGGCTTTGATGTAAACCGAGACAATAGCTATAACACAGCTTCATTCTCTCACAGAATCAGGTTCTCTATTGTGTTCATTTTGGCCGTGAACTTGCCTGGATAATCATGAGTGAACTTGGAGAATATAGCCTTTCATTTATTCTCCTAGAAACGGCCTATTTCACACTCACAAGGTGATTCGCCATTAACTTTGTTTAAAGGAGTATCCTGCATTACTCCATGTATATTTCAAAGTTATGGACCCAAATCATTAAAAGCAAAAGCTTATCCTCTACACCATACAGGTAGCACTGTTCATCATCTAGGAACTGGGTAGAGACATGAGTCTCCCAGTGCTAGTTGATTCAGTTTGACTTAGTTTTCCCCTTGAACCTATTTCATGGGATCTCCAATCAGTTAGGTAGGATTACCATCAAATCTCTCTTAAGTCATAGGCTTTAAACCATTCCTCTTGATGATTTTACAATTTAATCTCATGACACACCTTTAATTGGATCATAGGTTGTCATTCAAGTAGATATAATCTATTAAGATTACTCCATTTGAGATAAATTGTTTAACTCTTTTAGGTAGTGGCATATATGCATCCTCACACTTTTAGATATTTGTACAAATGTACTTTATCTTTTCAAAGTTCATATAACATTTTCTCAATGACTTTATGTGGTAAGCAACTTGTTACCCCCATATTTCTTGAGATAACTCAAGATAATACAAATTTTCTTTTCTTTTTTTTTGCATTTTAGACTTTTAAAAGTTCAGAAAAATAACTCTTGTTACCACTTTAAAACTTGTTCCCATGGAACTTGTCCAACTTTAGTCCTAGGTTTACAATACTAGGCACTAACTTGACTATCCGATCAACATCAAAATTTTGTACAATCACAAGAGGAAGACCATTACCAAAATAAATTTGGTATGTCGAATCACTAAACTTGTTACCAATAACACCTCCACGGCTAACGGTGTGGACAATATTATAAATTGTAGACCACTCCCAATATAGGGTATCATCTCATTCGATTTTTCATTATTAGAAACATTTTTGTAAATCTTCTAATTTTTTGTAATACTTTTTTTTTTGATTCAATTCACATACAAGCCAAACATGAACCATCATACCAAAAATATATCAGCATATATTAATCTAATATATAATAAGCAATTTAATCAACTAAGAAACTTGCAACAAACAATAAAATTAAGATTCCAAATCAATAAATTCAGAAATTAACATTTTAATCAATGCTAGAACAACAATTTAAAATATTAAATTAAGTTGCATAAATTAATTATTAGAAATATGATACTAGAAATAATAGGGTTCAATGAGCACCTGTTCATATCATATATATCTTAACAAGTATAAAAAATTATTAATGCATAACAAAATGATTTTTCATATATTAACACTGAAAATTATGCTAAAGTGATTAAAATAAATTACATAAATTAGAAGAATTAACCATATATATTCTTTCTTTGATAACCTGCAAATATCAGGATAAAGTTCTAATTTGAGAATTTCCATTAATATAAACAATTGGGGAATTTTTAAAACTATAATTTTTGTATACATTTTAAAACTACAATTCTAGAGTGTCTTTTTTCAAAATTACATTTTTTCATTAAGTAAAATAACTCTAAACCCAAAATCTTTACCCTAAACCATAAAATTGAGCCTATAACCCTTAAATTTAAACTCTAAACCCCAAAATTTATATAACGCCCCGACCGCCCATCTCGGTGAGTCACTCACGCCCGCTCTCAGTCTGTGGGCTCCACCCCTATTTGGCGGTTGGTTTGTCATTTTTGAGGGGCCCTAGAGACTTGTTTACTTTCCCTGCAATCAACACCCGACCACTACAAGAAACACATCAAGTAACGTCCCTTTAATAACGTCATTCATCAAACCGTCGTTAAATTTTTTGAAAGGAAGGAAATTAACGTCGGTTTAGTGAACCGAGTTTATATTTTGCATCAATATTTACTTATTTAGATTATTTACAACGTGTAAGTGGATTTATCACAAAAGCCCAGTTGTTCTTCTCATTTCCAGTTCCGAAATTGGAAATCGATTTCGCGATTCCAAATCTGATTCGCAAAGTCACAAATTCTCCAAAACTTCTCTCTAAGCTTATCGTCTCCATTTCAATGGCACAAAAGCTCGATTCATAGTCTTATCTCTCTCAAAGCTCTACTCTGAAGGTTTGTACGGTATAATGTTTTTGAGAAAATTGTTTTGATTAAGATACTAGGTCTAACAATCAAAATTTCTGGGCATCGAAGGTTTATCAAAGTTTTTGGGCGAGATAATCGATCATCACACCAATGTCATCACAAGCTTCTTCCATCAGGTATCGTATCTCTTCACTAGCTCGATTTTAGTTTATTTTTGAAAATTTTGGTTTGTGCTTTGTGAGTGTATCGTTTGTGCTTTGTGCTTCGTAGTTTAAAGCTATTGTCATAGATGAATGCTATCACTCACCATGTTTATGCTTGTTCTGTATTTCATTATGAATGATATCATACTTGAATTTAGAATTTCATTTTGAATTCTTCCATATACGTTCTAAAAATCATATGCTGCTTTTATATGTGCATTGATGATGTGTTAAACTGAGTATGAAACATATTACATAAGTGTTATATGAAGCAAATCTATATTTTGCGTGATATGATAATGAATTGTGTTTTAGTTATGATACTCAAGTATCTTTGAATGTGAGTTTCATTTTTATCTAGCAAGTTATAATTTTGTGTCTTTAGTTTGAGTTATAGGTGGGTATGGATAAGTCATGGATAACAAAATCTCGTTTGACTCAAGATTATAGAATTGGAGTCAAGGGGTTTTTAGATTTTGCCTTTGGGAAAATCAAGGCAGACATGTTGAAATGTCAATGCCAACGTTGTTGTCTTGCCAAATTCAAGTCCAGAGTTGAGATTGAAGGTGATCTGATGTGTCATGGTTTTCTCTGCACGTATACAAACTGGGATCTACACGGTGAAGACTTAGAGGACACTCAACAAGCTTTTAGTTTAGATCATCAACCAAATGTCGATCAGAGTGATAGCTCGACCTTCATTGATAGCTCGACCTTCAATTTACTAGCTGATATTTTCCCAAGTATGAAGTCAGACCCTCCTAACATGGATTCAGACCCTCCTAACATAGATCAACATGTGCATCTCTATTTTGGTAAATGGCTGAAAAGAAGGATTGAGAAAAATGATAAAAGGTTTATTTAGTGATATTCATTGTCTTTCCCAGGGTCCTTCTGATAAGGTGTTAAAGTTTACTGTATTTAATGTTAACGGATGCAAATTCAGAACTCTAGAAAGAGATCAAGACTTAAGAACTTAGAATAGTGGAGTATTTGTCTCTGGTGAAACAATTAGTTATGCAAGTTCTAGTGATTTTAAACCAAGAGCTGAAAATGTTTCTTATTATGGGAAACTAGTTGAGATTATTGAATTGAACTATTACCTTTTAGAGTTGTATTATTCAAATGCAAATGGGCTAATACTTGTGATTCTAGAGGGTATAAGAAGGATGACTTTGGTCATGAAGTTGTGAATTTTTCTCAGCCAATTCATACTGGGGACGGTGAGGAAGATGAACCGTATATATTGGCTTCTCAAGCAAGATTGGTATATTATGTGGACGATCTACAAAAAGAATGATGGAGTGTTGTAGTACGGGTCTAACCAAGAGACTTTTATGATATGGGTGATCCTGAGGCTTCAAGTGATGTATCTCAAAATATTGAAGATTCTCCTGCTTGAAGTACAATGTTGATTAGGGATAATATTCCTAATATTACACTAGTAAGACAGGTTGAGAATCTTGATGATCCGAGTGTTTTAGATTCTAATATGGAGGTATTTTATCTTACCTTTGTATGATACTTGATTGTTGTGTGTCTTGAATGTTTCTTTGTATGTTGGTAATTAGTGAGTATCATCAGTGAATATTTTATTTACTCTCATGAATGTTTCATTTTCATTTTAGATGTAATCATGTCTCAATAGAATGAAGATGTCTTTTCTCCACCTCTTCTCGGACAAGAATTAGCGTGTGGAAAATGGAAGGTTCATGTTATAGGTAAAAATGATTGAACTATGTTTCATTTATCTATGGATATGAGATGTTCTTAAAATTGACATGGTTATGGTTGTAGACGATGATGGAAAGATTACAGAAGAAAATATTTCTGGAAAGCAAGTTTGGAGTATGAAAAATCGTCGAGTTATGGTTGATTATAATAGGAGAGGACAACTTATAAAGGATTCAGGAGGGTTATTAGGTTCCTGGTTAGGTTCCTTGAGCTGCGATCTAAACATCTTACCAATTAACTACACTGATTGGAGGAAAGTTCCTGCATACAGGAAGGATATGGCCTGGAAAGTGATTGAGGTATTCAAGTTAACAATTTTCTTTACGAGGTTTTCATTCGGTCTGTATTTTAACTAATAATGATTTTATTTGAATACAGAAAAAGTTTTGGTTTGATGATCCTATTCAAAGGAGAAAATATGTGATATCAACTTTATGAGCGAGATGTAAAGACTTGAAGCGGTGGAAAAAAGATAGAAGAAATACGATAAGAGAACACTTGAAAAACGACCAGCATTGATTCCAGAAGACCAGTGGATAGATTTTGTTCACGCTTAGTTTACAAATAGAGCCAAGGTAAATATTGTCCAACAAAATTAATAGATTTCATTTCATTTCATATACACAGATAGTTTTGTTAAAAGATTCCATGTTTTATGATTGTTAAATCTTGTTTTGTTTTACTACATAAAGTACGAGAGCGTAATATTAAGAATCGAAGGAACTTAAAGATACCACATGCTCTAGGAAAAAAGAGTATAGCAAGGAAAGCTCAAGAGTTGGTAAGTTTTGTTATAAGTAATGTGAGTAATGTAATGATAGAAAATCGTAATGTATTGATAGAAAAATCGATCTTTATATATCTGTTTCAGGAAGAACAGAGCGGTGTTGAACCAAGTCGAAGTGAAATCTTTATTGCATCACGTACGAGATCAGATGGAACTATGATTTGCGAGGAAGAAAATATCTGTGCGGTTAGTTCTTTACTTTCAAAGTTCTGTGTTTGGAAAGTTGATGTGTCTTGTGTTTGGAAAGTTGATGTGTCCTCTGGTTCTTATGGAAAGGTTTAGTCATCTTAGATTCTATGATCTGAAGTGACTCTGCTTTTTTTTCTCGGATTCTTTGTGATCTGAAGTACCTTTGGTTTTTTTGCTGCTTTGTTTGTCTACATATAGGAGACACTTAAAGAAATTACAGGTCAAACAACAAGTGATGAAGCTATTGCAAAAAAATTTTGGTCATGAACATTCAGGACGTGTTCGATTCATAGGCCATGGTCCAACGCCGTTATTGGTTATCTAGTTGTCAATTATAGAATGTCCCTAATTTTGTCACATAATTTGTTTTTTTTTTTTGTTAAAGAGAACGAGAGTTTTTTGTTTGTCACATAATTTATAAGTAAATTGACAATACTCTTTCACCTGCAACACATTGGAATGGAGTTGCGTAAGTATTTAATAAATATTTAGTGAGACAATCACCCTGCCTACATGTCATTTAGGCAATTACTAGCAATTAAATAATATTATTAATAATTCTCAATAATTTTTAAGTTTCATTTTTCAATTATTAAATAATTCTCATAATTAAATAATAATTTTTCATATTTAAAATAATTTAAATCATTATTTTAAACCATTTAATTAATTAATTCCGAAATAACCATATAACCAGATTAAACCATAAATTAAATTGATTTAAACCAAAATTGATTTCAATTGGACCAGACCGTACCGGCTTGCGTCGACCCATGCACGTTTTGCGTTGCCCGACGCAGACCACTTTGCATCGCCCGACGCACGTCTGTCAGGTCGAAAGAGATATCAACAAATCACGCAGAAACACATAATTAACACAAAAATCACCCAAACATCATCACATAAACTTCATATCATAAGAACACCTCAAAATCAACATTCAATCAATATGGATCTAGTGATTTTGCGGACCTACAGTCATGCACTCACCTTGAAAAGGGATTGAAAAGGGAAAAGAGCAATGGTGATGAACAACGATGAACGGCACTCGGATCTGACCCAAAAACTCCAAAATCTCTCCAAATTGCCTCTCCTTCTTCTCTGTTACTGTTCACCCACGAAAATCACAAAAATGAGGCAGCTCCTAACTTTTATTTCACGAACTAGGGCTTTCTCACTACAGGAAATTGTGATATAATTAGCATCCGAAAAACGCTATATAATAATACGATAGCGTTTTGATAAGCGCTTTATCATCGCCCGTCATTGTAGGTATGAGACTTTAGATAGCGCTTTTTGGCACTGCTATCATATTGTTGTTAATAATAGCAGCTTTTTAACCGCTATTAAATAGTCTATAATAACGTTTGTAAAGTGTAATTAATAATATTTTTTAAAGCGTTTTCGAACTGTTAGTATTAGATTTATGATAGCATTTCAAAATTGTAATTGTTTGCCTAACTATAACTACAGCATTTGTAGAAACGTAATTGTAAAGCATATATGGAAGCTTTTTCACCTGATTTGTATACGAACTTTTTGCACCTAAATTGCTAATGCAGAAGATCTAAAACGTAGTAACAATATTAAAAAGTAGTGAATCTTTACTAAATGATAGCAACTAATTGGGGCCTCTCAGAGCACCTCAGAGATTCTTCCTTTGAATGCCACATGGTATTTTTTAAGAAAAAAGAAAAGAAAACTTACTTTTTCCTGATGATCGCTCTTCTTCTTCTAAATTCTTGGTCTCCTCTGTTACACATTTAATCAGCGATTCAATTCATCATATATATTGGCATATTGCGTTGCATCTTCTCCCTACTTTCGTTATTCGCTTCTTTGTATTTCATCTCTGTTGAGAAAGAAAGAAATCGAGGCAAATCGATGAGTACGCAGAGAGAATCAAATGCAACATCACGATTCGCCGTGAGTAGATCTAGAAAGGAATCGTATTGTACCAGAAAGACATGGCGCGAGACAAAGGTTTAGGAAGAGACGCCTGAGACCGTAAGCGGAGCTGAATTTCTGGAGGTGTTCGCCAACTATTTGGCTTCCTGGCAACCAGGCAAGATCTGGCCGTGTTAAATCAACACTGTCAAGGTTCTCTCTCTCACAAGTTCGATTTATGTTTACTAACTCTTGATATCGGGATTTAGAGTTTTGTTGGTCACAAGTTGGAATTATGATAATTCTGTCGTTTATATTGGATCTGGAAATGTTTCATTTCTTCATCTGATTATAGTTAAGGAAGTGTGTGACTCGATTAGTTATCACATTTTTGACTCTGTTGGAATTTTTTATTATAGTTAGCTAATTGAGTTTGAGAGCTCATTTTCCGAAAGGATATGATCAATAGTATGATACTGAACTTATTTAAGAGCTTATATAATCAAAGAAATGTTGTGTTTTGTGCTTTTGTACTTGCATTCTTTGAACATGTTTGTTTGATTAAGTAGGTAGGCATTGTCCTCATACGAGACGAAACTGTAGCAAGAAACTGAAGTGTCTTGGTTTTTCGACTTCCATGCGACCTGTGGGACTATAAAAGATATAAAACCATGGGCTTACTCTGTAGCAGAAGTCGACATCATACAGAAGATACTGATGTGAATGCACAGGTTTGATACTACTGAATCAAGATATGCATATGATTTTGAGCAAGGCATCAAGATTGAACTTGGTTTTTGTATGAATATGCAGGCTGTTGAAATCGAACGACGGATAGAGCAAGAGGCAAAAGCTGAAAAGCATATTCGGAAGCTTCTGTTACTTGGTATGTGGACCTTGATTCATTAGTCTTCTTTTAATAATGAGTTATGATATAAATGCAAATGGCGTACCTTAATACATCTTCTTCTGTTCTCATATTCATTTGGTTTTGAGATTTCCTCTTATCTTTCTGATTTACCTTTTTAAAAGGTGCTGGAGAATCTGGGAAACCTACAATTTTAAAGCAGGCAGGTTTAAAGGAAAACTGTTTGTAGTCTTTACGTATATGTATATGTTTATGAATGTGTTAGTTTAACAAGCATTTTTTTCAAACTTTCAGATAAAGCTTCGCTTTCAAACGGGATTTGGTGAAGGGGAACTAAAGAGCTATGTTCCAGTCATCCATGCCAATGTCGATCAGACTATAACAGTATGCAATACTTGAAAAACACTGTTTTGGCGCTTCCGATTTCTGTATATTCGAAATTTATATTGTTAGTGAAACTATATGTTCTTGAACAGATGTTGCATGACCGAACAAAGGAGTTTGCTCAAAATGAATCAGATTCTGCAAAATATATGTTATCTGCTGAAAATATGGTAAAGTGGTCAAAACGAGGCTGAAGTTCGAGAGGAAAACCAGCAGCTTAACTGGTTTAAGAACAAGGTCACGAAGCAGAACAAGCACGCCAAGGTGCTTGAGGAATCTCTGGGGATCTTGAGCGAGAAGCTGCGCAAAACTGCAGAGGATAATCGTATTGTGAGACAGACAACTAAGATGCAGCATGAACAGAACCGAGAGAGGTATGTATTTTTTTTTTACTCGAAAACACAGAACTTGACATTTTGTATTACCTACTGATACACTTTTTTGATTAACCGGTGGTTTGAAGATTGGATTCGCATGAAAAGTTTTTCAAAGACTCAATCAAACATATACATGAGAAGAGAGACGCGAAGGAGGAGAATTTCGAGATGTTGCAGTAGCAGGAACGTGCCAAGGTTGCTGAGCAGCAGAAGAAGAACACTAATCCCTCTAGCAACGATGATTGCCGAAAGAGGTATACATACTTTCATATTCCGATTTTTTTTCTTTTCAACACAATAGTAACTAAATTATTCTGGTTTGACTGTCCTGCAGAGCTGAGGAGCTTTCAAGCTTCATAGTCTTTCAGGAGAAAGACATGGAGGAGTTTGTGGAGGAGAGGGAGAAGCTCATCAAAGAGCAAGAGAAGAAGATGGCATATATGAATAGAGGCATCACGAGGCGATGCTTGATCTGGAGAGAGACTTTGACACACAACGTCCTGGTTTTTATAAAGCGTATGTGCTGTCCAATTTTCAGGTGTCTGTCGGAGCTATTTTTGAACATCTTTCGAAACTAGCTGCAGAGAGGTAACTTGCTTTTCTCAAGTCTCAATACAGTTTTATATCTTTCCCATCCGTACAATGTAGTCATAACAGAGATCTATTTATAATAGAGAATGGTCACCAGGTGGTCATTGTTGTGCTTATTTGCTATTTATATGTTTACATGATCTAAGGCTCTAAGCTGTGCATAGTTGCTATCAATAGATATGTCTCTGTTTTGTTTTTCCCTTTGTTCATCTTCGTATTGTAGTAATTACTTTTGACATCGCTTGCTTAGATTTTCTTACGCTGGTTTATGTGAAACACACATATTGAATTGGAGTTTTTTAACTTGCAGGAACTTACTATGACAAACTATCTTCCAGGAAATATGCAGAATTATGAATCAGAGTTTTTTGAATTGTGTCAATGAATTATGGAATCAATCAGAAAGAATATGCAAAAGGGAAACAATATTGATCCAACTCCAACCTCGGAGCAGAGGAAAAGAAAACTTATGTATAACGAGTAGGTGCTATTTTCTTGGTTTTATTGTACAATTGTGTTGATAGATTTAGCATAAAATTAAATTCAACTCTGTTTTTCTTAATTTTTCTTTTTCTGTGCAGCTTTGGTTCCTTCTTTGGACCTTCGTAGACTCTTATTGCTTCAGGAGTATCAGAAGATAGCAAATCATTGTTAGAAGATGAGCGTATGGCTTCTAAAATGCTTAACTTGATCCCAACTGTAAGTTTGATGTTTTGCTTCTTTGACCTTTTGTTAAATATGCCTTCTTCTTAATTTAGGAAGCATCACGCATCTGACCATAGTTAGCAGATTATGTATAACGATTTGATTCTTTAACTTCATGT